GGGCGGGGCGGGGCGGGGGCAGAGTCCGGCCGCGGCGGGCAGGGAGGGGCCGGCTGGAGAGTTCCTGCGCGTGGGGGCGGGAGACCCCAGCCCGGGTCTGGAGGGCGGGGAGGGGTCGTCCGCGCCCTGGCCGGGAGGCTGAGGGACCGAGGCCCAGAGTCACCCTCAGACTGGGCCGGCTGAGTCGGGGAAGGGCCGGGTGGCGAGAAGGAAGGAAGGAACCAGCGAACCAGCGAGGGAGGGAGGGAGCGGGCGAGGGGCCAGGCCCCTCTCTGAGCATCGGTTTCACTGGGGGGGCGGCGCTCGCGCTGCGCACATCTTAGTACGTCTGAGTCAGGAAGTGTCTAAAAAGTATGAAAACCGATGGGGTGTCATGGCTTAATCGCGGGTTTTTTTTTCTCTCCTCCTAATGCTGGAAGAAGCCCTGGCATTCCGGTGATGCGTGGCGTTTCAGGTCAGGCCCCTCAGCACCCACCGTGGAGGCTGTTGGCGCTGTCCCCACTTTACAGAGGAGGAAACGGAGGTGGCAGGAGGTAGACGTAGGAACTCGCTCACAAGCTGGTTAGGTTCTGTGCCCCGCGCCCCCACTAGGTCCCAGGAAGCCCTGAGCTGGGAGGCGCCCAGGAGTCAAGAGCATCTAAGCTAGGGAAACTGAGGTCCAAGGGGCCATCACTAGATCCTTTGGGCTGAAACCATCTGAGACGCCTTGGTGAGAGCCCTGCTTTGACATGGCAGGAAACATGACACAAACACGAGGTTCTGTCACTCAGGGTCACACAGTGTAAAGGGGGAGGTGGGGGAGAGTCGAACCCAGGGGGCCTGGCCCCAGGGTTTGCTCCCTTGACTTCTCAAACACATTCACCCTCCAAGCCCCTCCAACAACCCTAAAACAGGATGTTTCCCAACTCTTTAAAAATTTTTTTTACATTTATTCATTTTTGAGAGACAGAGCATTAGCGAGGGAGTCTCAACCCTTTTTAGAGATGAAGGGAGCCAGACCCAAAGAAAGACAGGGAGCCCCTGATCCAAAGGCGGCTGGGGCTTAAACTCAGAGTCCCACTGACCCTGCTCCCTGGGAGGGTGACCAGGCACAGGCACTTACAGGGTGCGGGGGACCCAGGAGGGAGCCGGGGACCTTGGGGAAGAGGGGCAGTGTGCAGCAGACCTGGAGCTCCTTTGCTATTAGGGTTGGGGGCGGGTGTCTGAGCGCCAGCTCCTCTGCGCCCTGGGACAACTTCCCTCTTCTGAGGGGCCGGCAGAGACACTCCCCCACACACTCACTCAAAATAACTCAGCCCACTCCCAGGACCTGGCAAAGGCTAGCATGGAAACTTCTGGACCCGGATTTTCCGTCTGTGGTGTGCCGGAAAGATAGTGTGATAGGCATGTCCCCAGTATGGCTTCCCCTCTTTCCAACCGCATTCGTTGTTGGGGGCGGGAGTGATGGGCACATCCTAAAAAAAAAAAATCCAGCTTCCTCCCTCGCCCCTAGACTTCTTCCGGTGGTGGGGGGGTGGGGAGATCATATTTACTTGCCCAGAGGGATTTTCCAGTGTCTGGGCCGGGGTGGGGCTGTCCCAAGGGTCCTGTTTCAGGCTCGGCTGGATCCAGCGCTCCTCGAGCAGGT